ACAAAAAAAAAAAAAAAAAAAAAAACCTCCACTAGAATGTAATCTCCAGCAGGGCAACGACCTTACCGGTCTTGCCCGTTATTGTGTTCCCTATGGCTTGTAGTGCCTGGCACATTAACAGACTTTCGGTATTGAATAAATGTGGGCCATAGAGAAAAATATCCCCATTTTTTTAATGTTTAAGTCAGCACCGGGCACAGGTGACCTTGTCATGTCACTCCAGTGCATCCTTCCCTGAAACACGAAAAAGAAGCTGCTCTCTCTTACGAAGCCAGTAATCCCAGATCAGAATTAAAAAAAAAAAAAACGGGTATCACCCGATATGACTTAGTCCTCACTTAAGCATTCTCGGCTAGGCCAGGTTAACGTCGGGCCCGTATCTGGTAGCCTAGATAACCAGAAGCGTTTGCTTAGTGAACCTTTTAAGTACTGCAAAGCTACACATCCCTCGAGGACTGTGTTTAGCTTCTGCGAGTCCCATAAGCATATAATAGATGTTCGCTGCATGAAATGGTCAAACATTAAATAGCGACTCCACGGCAAGAGTACCTGGGAGAGCCGCCCCGCTTAGGGTCTGGGTGTAGGGGACGACACACTGCGAACTGGCACGAACTCTGGATCGCGGGCCTGTCTCAAAATCCGTAATGGCTCCAAAACGCCCGGCTGTAGGCACCAGAAGTTTAGCCTGGAGGAACCTAAGGTCAGGTCTCGCACGTGCGTGACCATCTCCGCGCGCCCCCGCCCCGCCCCGCCCGCCAGCTGTCTCTAGGCTTCTATTGGCTGCCTCGCGGGAGGTCCGCCCTCTAGAAGAAGAAGGAGGAAAAATCCCAGTTGGCGCTCCAAATAACCGTAACTAACCTGACGTCATACCGCAGCCAATCACAAGCAGCGGTCTTTAGCCTTGTCCAATGAGATCGGGCACAGGCTTGGCCCGCGGAATTTGATTTTCGTACAGGAACGCGGAAGTTGCGCCAGTCCCGGGGGCGAGCTGCAGGGTCGGGGGGAGAGGCGACATGGGAGTGCACCTCCTGCAGAGGTACCCGAGCTGAGCGACGGGGTTCCAGTACCCAGCCCCGGGTCGGTGGGAGGCGTCGTTACTGTCTGTGGCCTGCAAACTGAGGTGCGCGGGCCGATACGGGTGGACGTCCGAGCGCTCCTGTACCAGGACGTGTGCACTACGAGCTTCGCAGACTGCGGATTCGAGGCAGCTTGATGTTCCGGTGGTTGCTCGGAGGCTCGACTTCGGAGGAGGGTGAGCAAGGCGACCATGCTGGGTTAGGAGAGCCTCTGACGAGGCTTGAGGCCAAAGCGAGTGACACGACAGGGTGCTGGTCTCGGCTGTTACTCACTAGTTGGGTGACTACGTCACTTTGTATATCTGGAGTTCATATTCCTTATCTTTAAAATGAGGAGGATGGATGGTACCCCGATTCGTTTGTGAGAAAGAGCTGCTGTTCACTTGTTAAAGCCTTAAGTCAAGGGTGATCTGAACTCATCCATCTCCTCAGTCCAGAGCTTTCAGGAGACCGGAGACCTCGCTGTCATAACTAACCCAAAGGCTTTCCTGCCAAGTGTCCAATCCATTGTTGGTTGATATTTATTAATGAAGACTTAAACATCCTATGAACTTTTAATGCAACCTAACTGATAAATTGAAGTTTCCTTTAGCAGCCCATCCCCACTTCTCCATTCCTTTGTTTCTCTTTGACTTCCTTCAAAACACTGCTGGCCAAAAGAAATTAGTTGGTGTAATGTGAAACGAAAGGGTTTCTCCAGGTTACTCAATACAGTTTTGTGCATTCGTTTTTTTTTTTTTTTTGTCAAGAGTAATATTTTCTACATTATTTTTCTTGAAGGTATCAAGAAACTGATAATGTTTCCTTGAATTCGCTTATGTATTTGTTTCATCAATGTCCCTCATATTGAATATCTTAAGAGAAATGCTGGAATATTTTGGTGTCCCCATAGACCAGGTAATTGTCTTTTAATGGATTTGAATGAACCTGTTGTATTTGTTGTTGGGTCTTATTTTGAAAATGATCTGTATGTAAACATTTAATTTAAGGTGAAATTGTTACTTCTTTTAAGGTGTAACAAAGGTGAGTTTGCAATAGTATTCCTTTGGTAGTTTGAGTTAAAAAGGGGGATAAGATTAGGGACACCTGCTGGCTTAGTTGGTACAATATGTGACTTGATCACCTGGTTGTGAGTCTGAGCCCCACGTTGGAGGTAGAGTTTACTTAAAAAAAAAAAAAAAAAGGATAAGATTATTAGTAACCTATTTACGGGAGAGGTAAAATGCCAGCAAAAGATGCAAATGGAGCAAAATATGGATATGACTTTCATAGATAAAATATATTTTTAATTAGCTAGTGGTTTTATTTAAGGTAACTTAAGTTTGGTATTTGGATATATAATGCAAGTTATAGCTCAACAAATTCAGCATAAATCTTGAGAGAGGATGACTTAGGGTCTGAGAATTATAAGCAAATCCGATTTTCTCTACTTCTGGAGCATTACTACATCTAAGACAATATGCTTAGTTCTGCAGGTGATACAGAGCAGCAATACACGTTTCTTGTATTCCTGATACTTAAAATATAATATGAGGAATAAGAAATATATACAGACTATAATACAAGATTGAATATAAGAGAGAATAGTTGAGTTTACAGAATGGGCAAATTGTTGCTATTTGTTGTGAATTAGAAGAGAATAATAGTCAAGCATACTTTCAAGATTTTAAACAAAAGTAAGTTGAAGAGTGGTTATAAATTATAAATAGGCAATTGTTATATTATAAATATTATAAATGGGCAGTTCAGTATGAGGAACTAGTTTGAGTAGGGAGCTAAGATGAGCAAGATGTGCTGTTTGATTATATAAATGCAAATATCCTACAGATAGTTAAATGGTTCTAGAATGTAGGAAAAAGGGGTGCCTGGGTGGCTCAGTCGTTAAGCGTCTGCCTTCGGCTCAGGTCATGATCCTGGGGTCCTGGGATCGAGCCCCACATCGGGCTTCCTGCTCGACAGGAAGCCTGCTTCTCCCTCTCCCACTCCCCCTGCTTGTGTTCCTTCTCTTGCTGTATCTCTCTTGGTCAAATAAATAAATCTTAAAAAAAAAGGAAAAAGAGATTCAGATTTGAGGTTATCTGCATTCTTTTGTTATTTGAATTCATGGACTTTGACATAATGGAAGTTGTTGGATATTATTGATGCATTTTGAATTTCAGAAATAGTGGGATCAAAGATAATGGCAGCTTGACTAATAGTTGAAGATTTGCTTATCATTAGATTATTGATGCCTTTAGGGGTTTCTGTAGGTGGAGAGCGGCAGCTGCCTTGTATTTTGAAGAATGACTGAAGAAGTAGATGGCATCGGCGCCTTCTTTTGAAAAGTTTGTGAAAAGAGATCAAGAGTGACCATCAAATTGAAATTTTGTTTTCTTTCCAATATTAGAGATATTTCATGTTTGCAAGCATTAGGGAAGAACCTCATAGATGAAAAGAAGATTCAGATGAAATGAGCAGTGCCCTGGAGAAGGTAGTTGGAAAAGGAATATAAATAAATAAGCCTTGGAAAAAAGATGGACAGTCGAGTAGGATAAAAGAGAGGGTGGAGAGGTTTTGAATGGAGAGAAATGAAAATTGAGGTATGTCACCACGGAGTTCTCAGTTTTCTCAGTTAAGAGCAAAGTCAAGGCTACTGGCAGGTAATAGAAATGGTGGCATTGGAGATTTCAGAGATTGGTCATTGCTTTGGGCAACACGATAGAGAACAAAACGTTCTGAAGGGGTTGCAGAATACTCAGCTGAGGTCAGCATGGATTTGTAGTCCTTCTGAGTATTGTTGTTTTGTGATTTCTTTTCTCCAGCTAAGAGTAGTTGGGGTAGTTTATGATTGGTAATAAGCATATCACTGAAACAATCGAAATTCTCTGCTTGGTAGGAAAGTCACATCAGTAAAGTCAAAATGAGGGTGCTGGATCAGGAATAGAAAAAGGAGGGGACAGCATCAGAATGGTGAAGATGGTCAATGTCAGTTAAGGGATGAGAGAGAAGAACAGGAGTTTGTCAGGATGGAACTTGCAGAGTAAGACATGAAGGTACCATCCAAGTTAACCAAGAGTTGGGTGGCTATTTATGTACAGTGAGTAGCCCTCATTGTAGCAAAACCTCCAGGCCTGTGGTTCTTAAGAAGCGTGTGCATATGAGTGATCTATAGAACACTTTAAATATAATTGCTCAGGCTGGAGGAAATTCTAGTGTTAATAGGTCCAGGATCTGTATACTCCAGGCTGTGCTAGTCAATATGGCAGCCACTGGGCCAGATGTCATCTTCAAGCACTTGAAATGTCTGAATTGAGATCTACCATAGGTGTGAAATATACAATGGATTTTGAAGACGTAGTATGAAAAGAAGAATATAAAATAATGCCATTATTTTAAAAATATTGATTACACGTTGAAATGATAATATATACATATTGAGTTAAATAAAATATACTAAGAAAATTGTTTCATCTTTTTCTACCTTTTCAGATGTAGCTACTAGAAAATTTATTTTACATACGTGGTTTGTGTTTTATTTCTCTTGGAAACCACCTTCCGAGGTGATTCTAGTATACCTATGGTTAAGACCTACTACCCTGTAGGATTGAAAAGCAACACAAACTTGTCTTTGCCTGCAAAGACTTTACAATCTAATGGAGCAAAGAGAAAACTGCAAATGAAACAAAGTTATATGTAGTTAGGTGTCCTATTGTATGGTACTCCTTAGAACTAGGAATTCAGAGCCTAGGAAGCTCCTGAGAGCAGAGAGAATCAAATATGTAGAGGAATGTGAATCTGGCATTAGAATAGAAGTGAAAACAGCTCGAGTTAGGGCCAGGCCCTATGGGCACATGGGTAAGTGCTTGGCAGTTAGGATAATATTGGCTTGTCTTTGAAACGAAGAGGAAAATTGCTTAACCCAAAAGAGCTTATGTCCTTGTAATTCAGTTGGATAAACAGAACAGGTGGCAGAGAACAAGTGGCAGAGAACCTTTAAGGGTGAGTGGACAATGAATACAGAATTCATGGAGGACGTTATGGAGACTGAGCTAGCAGAACTGATGGAAGATTGTGAGGCTAGTTGGTGGAATTAGTATTTAATCTTGGAGTGAGGTGTTTGGATATGATTGGATATGTTCAGAACCCTTACGACTTAAAAGCAGAGGGATGGCATTCTGGGTGCCAGTGGCTTCTCATCTTCCTCTCTAGCCCCAGTTCTTCTCAACTAGTCAAATGGCTTTGATTTTTACCTATCATGTATTTGGTCTGCTGATGATTCCCAAATCCATCTAAATCCCAGATGTTTTTTCCTGAGGTCTAGGACTGTATATCCATCTGCTTATCGGACACTTCGAAGAAGATGCTGATAGGATGCTACCTATATCTGCTGCTTGTAATAAAATTTGTCCTTGTTACGGGATCTGAGGAAAAATGAAAAGTCCAAGTTTTAATGCTTTTTAAAGAGAGGAAGTGCTTTCTTTGTGTTAAAATCTCTGCCAAGAGCAGAAATGTTATGTCATGTTTTGGGGAAGGTTCCTGTGGGAATAGTTTATACCAGTCTGGAAGGCGCAAAGGCAAAAGACAAGGTGGTATTTGAATTACAGTAGCACATTTCATTTCTATCATCTTTTTAAGAACTGACTTCTAGTAGATATATTGCACTCTAAGTAAAGAATTCTTAAATTATCTAGTGCCAGATTAATTTATTCCCCTAAAAAGGATCTCACCTTTAAAGGGAATTACAGGAGTTTACTCTGTACTGCCTTATGCTTGAGAAACTGAAACTCTCAATTTTTGCTTGGGCCAAAAGATATGTTTAGCTGGGCAGAGGGGAGGCAGTTTTTCTGAACAAAGTTCCCAAAGGTATATTGCCATGATTGGAAATAGAACAAACATGAATTTGTGGTGCTTTCTTAAAAGACCTTTCTTCCTGGAATATTATATAGGTTAACTCCCATCCTTTATTCATATATGACTAAAGTTTAATTCTTTGAAGAAAATACTTTGAGTATGCCATTCTGTATTTTCTTTTTCAAAATAAGTGTTAGTGCATTTACATCTGCTTTTCTTCAAAGTATATAAACAGGCTTTAGCAGAGTACTTTTTAAAAACAACACTCTATGTATAAACAGGTTTTGCAGATTAGAGAAAATAAAGACTATGGATCAGCTCGGAGTATTGTTCGTATTATTGGGAAAATTCTTCCTCTAGAACCTTGTCCCAGGCCTAATTTTGAGGTAAGTCAGTCAACAGGCATTGTTTAAGTACTATGTATAAAATAATCTTAGGTACTAGAGACAGAGTAGAACAAAAGAAGAAGAAATGTTTCCTGCAAGCCAAAAACCTTTAGCTTATTCCTGGAAACAAGTCATTTCTTGTATGTTTTTGTATTTACTTCTTTAAGTAATTACATTCAGAGTTGGGCAGGTACAAAGCAACACCTGAATAGCTTATTTTATTCTTCTGGTTTGTGTTCTATGATAGATGACATTAACCAGGGTAGAGAATCTTGCTACATGTTTAGACTTTAGAATAACATTTTCTTCAGTATTGTTTCTTGCTAACAGGTGCATGTTTGGTTTTGAACATTCTTTTTCCTTTTCACTCTTGGATTTTTAATTTATGTAATTTCCATGGGCATGCATGTGTTTTACCCCCCGCCCCCAACCACTGCAGAGCTCTGACTTTTTTTTTTTTTTCCCTTTTTTTCCTTTAGTTAATCCCACTGTTGAACTCTGTAGACTCTGGTAACTGTGGATCTGTAGTTCCATCTTTTGCTGATACTTTGTGTGTGGCAAATGATGAAGAAGCCAGTTATCTCAGATTTCGGTAATTTTATATACTTACTGTGGAAAATGGGATATGGGCTGTAATCTGAATTCTTGCACGTGTTGAAGTTTGATCATACTAATTGAGCCTTTTGTCTGTCTCTACTACTGTGCGTCTTCCTAATATCTTCCTAATAAGGATGGCTGGGTGTCTCTCATTTTTATTTACCATTTCTCTTAATGCAGGCTTAGGAAGGAATAATATTAAAAGGATGTCAGAATCAGTATGTCCATTTTTAGGAGAAAGCTGTTTCCTACACTAAATACTATATATATTTATTTATTTTGTATATTTAACCAAAAGGTATGTAGCATTTACTGTGTACCAGGCAATGATGTTAAATATATTTCAAAATTAGGATGTGTTACTGCTTGAGAGGACTAACTTACGTGTTAGTATATTCAGATATAGGCTATCAGCACAATAAGGGTCAATTATTCAAATATTACAGCTAAACTTATTACGTATCAAACTGGTTTATCTACTTAAAAAAAGTTAGAATACCACAAACTTACCCCTAAGATAATACTGAATATAAGGCCTTTCAATACCTTATATTCAGAATATGTAGAATTTATAAGTAAATCAACTTCATTTCTAAATAAATCAATTTGTACTGTGTTTAAACCTAATAGGTAGAACAGTTACAGGATAATTATTTTTGTTTTACAGTCTCAGAGCAAGATTTGTTCCTTCATTCACTTACCACTTACGGTTACCTATAACCGTTGTGTTCTAGATATTGAGAACGCAGTTACACAAGATGTTGTGCTTGTCCTTAGCCAGTCTAGAGACAATCACGGGATAAAGAGAGCTTCTCCAATTTTTGTTTCTGTGTCATTATTACTTTTTAACTGAAAGAATTTATTGCTCTTGGAAAATTTCCCTCTGTTTCGCTTTCTCTCTCCCTCTCTCTCACTGTCATTGTCCACTTTTTTCTTCTACCCACAGAAATAGTATATGGAAACAAGAAGAGGAGAAAATGGAATTTTTCCATTCTTTGCAACCAGTTTGGAATCCATTGTCACCTGCTCTCAGACAGAATAAACGAATGAAAAGTGACGGGCCTGTAGGTGAAGCAACATTTAAAAAGATAGCTGCCCTCGAAGAGGAGCTGACTTTTCTCCGTACTCAGATTGCTGCGATCGTGGGAAGGCAGGAACCGGGAGCCAGAGCCAGTGCGCATGCGGGTGAGGGGCGGGGGGGCGGAGTGTGTGTTTCAGTCCGACGGGGCGGGGCTAGCAGTTCGGTCGGCGCGCTGCCCAATGATAGTGTCCGTTGCGAGCGCAGCCTGTGAGTGACGTTCAGTAAATCTAGGATGTTGGGGATGGGCAATTACTATGCGTGGTGTTTATTTAGACTAAGTTAAGACACATTTGTGGTGAGGGGGATGGCTTTGGTTTCAGCTATACTGCTGAAGATTGTGCTTTTGAATTAAAAAGCCTGTTTTCTCAGGAAACTTTTCTACCTCTTCAGAAAAGCACTGAAATTTATGAGGAAGGATATATTAATTTGAAAGAAGAACATGTATTTGTAGCTTGACGTTATTGCTGCTATCGTTCCACAAAATTCAGGTTGAGTAATGTGTTCCAGATGATCTTTTTCTAAATGTTTAGAGATGTGACTTGTTTTAAACAACACACACACGTAATACATACGTGTATCCCTACACATCCATATACACACATGTATAATTCATTATACAACATGAAATGTTCATATAGTATTGTATATTTATAATATATAAATATATAATACATATTAATAACAATAGCAATTAAAGTGAGATATGCACATATATTGTTTTTAGCAGTCATGTTAACACAGTCTTTTGGGAGCAGATCTGTTGTGAAAGTTAAGTACTTAGTACCCATCCTGGGCGCTTGCCTAGAAAATAGTTGGTTTCTACAGTGTCATCATAAAGAGAATATACCAGTTTGAGTGTTTCTAACTACAAATTGTTTATTATGTTTTAGCTTTTTTAAAATGGATGAAATTCAGATTGTATGTTAATTACTGAAAAAGCACTTTTTATTTTTTTTTTAAATGCATTCTCACCCTTCCTCCCTTTAAAGCCCTACACAGACAATCCTAATTGGATTAAAAATAAATTTATTCTTTGGTTTGACTGTTATAAAAATTACTAAGCAGATGGGATTGCTTCTCTTTCCTGGCCACCCTATCATTATTTTAGTAACATTACAGAAATTGTTCCTGTTTTGGTTCTAATTAGTGTTATGGGTTATGTTGGAGAGAATTTTGCATGATTTTTCAAACGAGTACTTTGTTTTTAGGCTTCTTTGACTTGAATGACGAGCCTAGCAGTGTGGGACAAAGACCGTCACCAGCGACTGCTGAACTGAGTGCCCAGCCAGATCCATTTTCAAGTTCAGTGCTTTTTCCACCCCACCCCCTGCCTCCTCCTCCTCCTCCTCCACTGCCCCCTCAACTTTTTTCTCCACAGTCTGCATGTTCTCCTCTCACACAGCCAGGATCTAATAATATGTGTGACTCAGATAATTCAGCAAATGAAATGAAAAAACAGCACCCACGTGATAGTAAGACCAATTACAGTCATTCAAAAAACCATGATGTTCCAAACATGCTGGATGTTCTAAAGGACATGAATAAGGTTAAGCTTCGTGCTATTGAACGGTATGTTATCATAACATGAGAAATGAACCAAGTTTTATTAATGATGTTTTAATAATTTATTTTATTTATGAAAGTACACACAGACCGGTCTTCTCTCTCATTCCTCTTTACTCCAATTGGACACGTCTCCCAGAAAAAATCATTTTCCATTTTTTTTTTTACTCTTCCTTCTAGTGTCTTATTTATATATATATATTTTTAAGATTTTATTTATTTATTTGACAGAGATATAGAGAGCACAGTAGGCAGAGCAGCAGGCAGTGGGAGAGGGAGAAGCAAGCTCTCCGCAGAGCAGGGAGCCGGATGCGCGGCTCGATCCCAGGACTCTGGGATCATAACCTGAACTGAAGGCAGATGCTTAACCACCTGAGCCACCCAGGTGCCCCCCTTATCTGTATTTCTGAAACAACATACTTCTTTTGCTATTTCTTGATACTTTAACTGTATTTATTTTCCTTTGTTAAAACTCAGGAGTGTATGTTCTCCCAACCATCCTATCCTCTAACACATACACACAGATACACCTCTTGTTTCATCTTCCCAATATAATTAAATCTTTAGTTTTTACTTAAATCAGCAATCAGAATTTACATCCTTATAACAGTAAACATTCACAAGTAAGCCATTTCCTATGCTATGATTACGTTTTGTTTGTTGAATAATTTTATTTTCTCTTGCAGTTAATATCTCTCTGAGTTTCTTTCTAAAATAAATTCCCTGGTAGGAGGCCTCTGTACTGTTCCAATCTCTGGTTCCCGCAAGCCTCCTGCATTGTGGCCATGCTGAGGATTTCCTTGGCCATCATCATGAGCATTCTCTGCCCTCTCTCTTATGTTGCCTCACCCATTTCTGGGGTGTCCTATCTTCCCATACCTTCCTGAGAAAGGATCTATAAAAAGGGAGATTATTTTAAGACCTTTCATATTTGAAAATGTTACTATTTTATTCTCAGTTCATTGCCAGTTTGGCTGGGTATACAGTGGCAGAAAATCATTTTTCTGCAGAATTTTGAAGACATCGTTCCATTGATTTCTAGCTTCCAGTGTTCTTGTTCAGAAGCTGATGTCATTCTCATCCCTGGCACCATGTATAAAACCTGTTTCTTTATTCTTGAAGCATTTAAGATCTTCTCTTTAGTCCTGGTGTTTGGAAATTTCATGATGCCATGCCCTGGAGAGTTCCTCTTTTAATTTCTTATGCTGGGCACTTGTGGACTCAGTCTTGAGTTTCATTCAGTATGTAGACTTTTCCTCAGTCCCTGTTTTCAGGAAGGCAGCTCACCCTCCCTCCGTCTTTGCTTTCATTAGCTTTCCAGCTTTCAATGTTTTCTTGCAGTTCTTACTCTCTCATAATTTCTTTGTCTTTGTGGGTATATGTCCTTTTCATTTCTTTACTGTCATCTCATCTTTCACAGAGATCTGCCATGTTCATCTGGAAATCCCTCAATGAGATTTTTTTGTGAGAAAATAAATATATTTTCTATACAATAGTGTTAGGAAAGCCCCTACATCATTTCATTAATAACCAGGTTATGATTTGATCCTTGTGTGAGGCACCTGGTACAGAGAAAAATGTGGATAGATGGGCACACTTGTTCCAGCAAGAGGGCTTACTGGTATCACTGGGCCCAGTCAGTGGCAGATGGTGACTCCGACTGTTACCATCACTGGAGACACAGCAAGGAGGCAGTAGATTCTCCCCTCTACCCCTAGTCTCTCATTTTTCTACAACTAACCTGGCATTATACATTACTGCAGAATTAGATGAGGCTTCCCCCATCTTTACATTTACAGTCACTGTTCATGTTCTCTGCCTTCTATCTTGTTACTGTGAATGAGGTGTCATTTTTCATGTCCATGCTCTCCCCTGGGTTACTGGTTCCCCTTCTCTCTCATCTCAAGGGTTTTACTTAAAATTATCCCTTCTGTCTTCTACATCATTAAATTTTCCTTCTCTACTTTATTCTCCTCACACCTGAGTGTTTCCTGTCTTCAAAACACGTATGTCCCAGGCATTATTGTTTCTCTGCTCCTCTTTCTGGTATAAATTCTTGTTGTCAATAGTTCGCATTTCTCACTTCCTTCTTCTACCCACTGTCCTGTGGTCTCTGTCCCCATCACTCCACTGAAAACTGCTCTTTATCAAGGTCACCAGTGACTCTCTTGCTAAATACAATGGTCAATTCTTACTGTTCCTCCTACCTGATATCATGGCAGTATTTGATATGATCTGTGGTTCCCTCCTCCTGGGAACACTTTCTACCTTTGGCTTCAAGGAAATCACGCTTGGTTTTCCTCTTACTTCACTGTCCATTCCTTATTCCTTTGCTTACTCTTCCTTCTGGGCCTGGTATCTACATACTGGCATCTGCAAGGCCCAGACCTCAGTCCCCTTCTTTCTATATCCACATTGTTTCCTTTGCTGATCTCACCGAGTCCTACGGCTGTGTATACCAAGGTTATGCTAGTGGCCTTCATAGTTATCTTTCCATCCCTGATTTCTCTCCTCTGCACCCCATGCCTACCTGACACCATTTGCCTGTCTCACATGTGTCTCAGGCTTCACAGGTCCAAAACAGACCTTTTCCTTCCTACCTGTCCACTTCATCCACCTTGAAAACCTGTTCTGCCCCAAGTCTTTTGCATCTCAGTAAATAGCAACACCATCACCCGGTTGTCTGTCCAGCCCAGACATCTAGAATCATCCTTTCCTTTCCTTCCCGTTCCCTTCCTGTCAGCATACAGCGCAGATGTGTACCCTCATGGTCTAACTGCCGCCCCCAGTCTAAGTCAGCGTCTCTAGCTTGGACTTCTGCAGTAGTTTCCTAACTGCTCTCTCTCCGTTCTTGCCTCCTTATCTTTTCTCCATATAGTAATCAGGGTGATCCTTTAAAAATTGAAGTCCAGGGGTGTTTGGCTGGCTCAGTTGGTGGAGCATGTGACTCTTGATCTTGGGGTTGTAAGTTCGATCCCTATGCTGAGTGTAGAGATTACTTAAAATCTTTTAAAAACAAAAAAATAAAACAAATAAAACTTGGAGTTCGATCTGGCCATTCCCTGCTTAAAACCCTTTGGTGGTTTTCCGTCATGCTTAGAATATAATCCAGACACCTTGCTGTGGCCTCTAAGTGCCCCCAGAATCCAGCCCTTGCTTCTGTCTCTGACCTCATGGCCTACTTCCCATGCCACTCTCTGCACTCCAGCTGTACCTGTTTTTCTTTTTTCTCACACATGCCAAGCTCCTTCCTGATGCATCTGCTGGTTGTTTACACTAACACTGACTCGGAGTCATTTATAGAGAGATGTCATCTCCTTAAAGCTTTTCCTGGTCATCTCACCTAAGGTGCTGTTGCCCCAGTCACTGTCACATTACCTACTTAATTTTATTCATAGTATGCATTGCTATCTGCAGTGACTTCACTTGTTCATTGATGATTTCCTGTCACCCAGAATGTTCCATGGGGATAGGATATGGCTCTACCCTCAAAGCATAAAATGGAGCCTGGTATAATAGTAGGCATTAAGTGAAGACTGAATGAACGATTGGCCTAATGGTTTTCTTTTCATGAATTCTACAGTCCCCTTAAAAGTTCTTAAATATTTCTTTAAATTTTCCACTGGAAAATTAGAAAATTAAATAAAGATCTTCAGGGGCGACTGGGTGGCTCAGTCCTTAAGCATCTGCCTTCGGCTGGGGTCGTGATCCCAGGGTCCAGGGATTGAGCCCCACATTGGGCTCCCTGCTCTGTGGGAAGCCTGCTTCTCCCTCTCCCACTCCCCCTGCTTGTGTTCCCTCTCTCGCTGTGTCTCTCTCTGTCAAATAAATAAGTAAAATCTTAAAAAAAAAATAAAGATCTTCAATACAGCGAGATATTTGATAATCTCAGGTCACAACAAGATTGTGGTGGAGTCCCACCCACACGGTTTCTTGGTTTTCTGATTCCTAATTCATTGTGCCTTCCAGATTCCTTGTTCTTTGGCAAAAACGTTCAACCTCTTGAAGAATAATTAGATTGTAATGTATTATGCTTACATTTCTGGCATGTTTGTCAACAAGGAGCTTAAATTACACCAAGCTTTAATTCAAAAAAGTTTGTTTGTTTTTTAAATAGGTCACCTGGAGGTAGACCCATTCATAAGAGGAAAAGACAAGATTCACATTGGGATCCAGTGTCTTTGATATCCCATGCGCTTAAGCAGAAGTTTGCCTTCCAAGAAGATGATTCCTTTGAGAAAGAAAATAGGTCTTGGGAATCTTCTCCATTTTCTAGTCCAGAAACTTCAAGAGTGAGCTATAATAACGTAAAGCTAATGTTTTGATTTTCTGAAGTGTGTTGTTCATCATCTGTGGCCGCCTTCAGGGTTCCTTGGAGCCCTTGCGCAGAATGGGCCATGCACTTGTGTGCCAGTACTGCCCATGTTTCTCATGTTTCTGTTCACGTTCACACATTCCTTTTCGCTTTTAGCTTACTATGAAGTCTTTTGAAATAAAACACTTGATTTGAAAAATACTTGTGCGTGAGTTGGTCAAGGTTTCTCCTGCCAGGTGCTAACCTGCCCTTGCTGTCTGCAGTTGGAGCGGGGTGTCTGAAACTCGGAGAGACCAAAGAACAGCCACAGACTCAACCTCCCCAGAGTGAAATGAAGACTCCCACTATTTTTCCTCAAATATAAAGACTGGGTTATTTAGTTAAATAGAATGTTAACAGTGCTTTTAAAAAGGCAACTGGGATCATAATCATCTTCAATGACAATGCTTCTTGGTTGTTTAAAAGGACACATACCTGTATTTCAAACACTTGACCCTTGAGATTGTCTTTTTTAAATTTAATTTTATTATGTAAGTCAATCAGAGAAGGACATGTATCATATGATCTCACTGATAGGAATTCTTGATCTCAGGAAACAGGGCTGCTGGAGATTGCTTATTGGAAGTCCCTTTTCTTTAATTCAGACATTAGTTTGGGGGTTGCTTTTCCCATCCCACGGCTTACTTGAGGTAGCAGTACCCACGAGTAAGCCCCGAGAGCGAGAGGACCTGGAGGCAGGGGAGCGTCCGCCATAGGCGCACAACGCGGAGGAGCCGCGCCTGCGGCAGGGGAAGGGGTGGGGCTGGCGGCCGCAGCCGACCCCTCCTGGGCCCGCCCGGCGCGAGGCCTCGGAATTAGTCTGCGTGCGTGCGCCATGGCGGAGGTTCGTCAGGTCGGCCCTGGAAATTGTTTCTTTTTCTTTTTTTAAGATTTTATTTGACAGCGAGAGAGGGAACACAAGCAGGGGCAGTGGGAGAGGGAGAAGCAGGCTTCCCGCAGAGTAGGGAGCCCGATGCGGGGCTCGATCCCAGGACGCCGGTTTCATGACCTGAGCCGAAGGCAAACGCTTAACGACTGAGCCACCCAGGTGCCCCGGCCCTGGAAATTCTTAACTCTAAGAAGGCAAAAAAGTATAGTTTAGAATCATTACAGTCATAAAACACAAATGTCCTGAAAACAAATGTTTAACATTTGTGTAGAAATGTCTTAACTTGCCGGGTACATTTTTGCTCACCTCTTTTGATCTTCACAGCAATCTCCTAAAAATAAATGTAAAAATAAGTCAGTATTGGGTGCCTGGGTGGCTCACGCGGTGAAGCGTCTGCCTTCGGCTCAGGTCAGGATCCCAGGGTCCTGAGATCGAGCCCCGCATCGGGCTCCCTGCTCCGCGGGAAGCCTGTTTCTCCCTATTCCTCTCCCCCCGCCTTTGTTCCCTCTCTCGCTGTCAAATAAATAAAATCTTAAAAAAAAAAAAAAAGTATTACCTGTCTCACGCCTCAGAACCCCGAAATAACCCCACATCTAACTGGCAGAGCAGAGACTGGAGTTGGTTTATGAACATTTTAGGAAGTCCGAAAAGCTTCAGTTAGGTACGAGAGTCGCTTGTGTGGGGCACACTTCCCCGTGATGGTGGGTAAATGAGGGATTACTGGGTTGTCTTCCACTGCTCACTCTTCAGCATTTTATCTCCAACCACCTACCAGCACCTTAGAGAAAGAACCATCTCTTTTAAGGCACCAACCTTAGGGCTGGACACCTGGGGACTCAAACTGTAGTTGATTGGGAGCCCAGTCTCTGCCGCTGAGCTGCTTAGCTCCCTCTGTGTCCTTGGCTCTAGGCGTGGTGCCTGACACACAGCCCAGTCTCAGATCCCTATTGATTGTCGGATAAATTAAACCTCAACGGGTCGTTTGGTCGTTAACATTCTTCTACATGAGAATACTTTCTGGGTGAACCTTTCGCTTTATTTCCGTTTGGACGTCACATTTCGGAGCCAGGACAGCGAACTAAAGGAAGAATTGACACAAGAGATGTTGACGGAGGCGTGAACAGCGTGAGCTGAGTCTACACCAGCAAGGAAAGATTGCAGAAGTGTGCCATGTCTTTCCCTACGTGTTGCAAGGCTCTCATCTGTTAGTGAAGTTGAATGAAGTGTGTGCACTGCGATCTATGAGTGCAGGGGTCTGAAGAGTCTGGACTCTCTTAAGAACACCTGTCTCTGTTCTTGGAAGATCCAGCAGCTAATTGGCTACTGATGATAGGTGTATGGATTTCTCTTTTCACGTATATTAGTGTTATTAAAAACTGAATACACGCTTTGAATGATTTTCCCAAGGGTTAAGTAGTAAATGACTTAATGTGTCTCATAGGGTCTTACTAGAGGGTAACGGAAATCATTTTTAATGGATTAAGAAATTAATGTATTGTACTCAGCAAATGATAGTATATTTGGATTTTTAAAAACAATTTTTTAAAAGATTTTATTTATTTATTTGACAGAGCACAAGTAAGCAGAGCGGCAGGCAGGGGGAGAGGGAGAAGCAGACGCCCCACAGAGCAGGGAACCCACTGTGAGGCTTGATCCCAGGACCTTGGGATCATGACCTGAGTTGAAGGCAGACGATTAACCCACTGAACCACCCAGGCGCCCCTAAAAAACAATTTCTTAAAATAATTATGACTTCCTAATTTAAGAGTTTTTGAGTCTTTTAAAAATTGGTAGTGTCTGGTTTATCTGGCCTCCAGGGACTTAGAGATTTTCAAAGAATATAAAGTATCATTTTTTCATTAGAATTGTTAAAGTTTGTGGGCGCCTGGTTGGCTCAGTCAGTTAAGCACGTGCCTTCAGCTCAGGTCATGGTCCCAGGGTCCTGGGATCGAGCCCCCGGGATCGAGCCCCCGCACCGGGCTCCTTGCTCAGTGGGGAGCCGGCTTCTCCCTCTGCCTGCCACACCCCCTGCTTGTGCGCTCTCTCGCTGACAAATAAATAAAATCTTAAAAAAAAAAAAGATTGAAGTTTGAATCATATAGATTGAGTCCCCTAAAAATCCTTCCCAAGGTGATCAAGAATTATTCTTAGAAACTGATTTTGATTATTAGAAGTAGAAATACTTAAAGAATCTTGATAAGTTTTGCCCACTTCTATGTAAAGATGAGTGCCTGTCGTCTTATTTTCTTTGATCTTGTTTACATTTATTCTCTGTACTTTTGTAAATAAATGTGCTTTTTGAACTTGGTTATTTTTTATAGCAAATCAAATTCATGTTTTCTCCTTACTGCTTCATAAGTTTGAAACTTTTTTTTTTTTGAAGAGTTCTATAGGGAGAGTACCTTGGGTAATACAGATGAAACACATACAGGGTTGGACTAGGTATTTTTCCCTCTTCGCCCATATACTAATGTCATGTGGAAATTTACATGGTCCCCTAGATTCTTTGGCCTCTGCGACAGCTGGGGAGCTTAGGTTCCATTTGAATGGGCTCGGCACCCACCCGTTTCGCCAGACTCTTTCCCTTTCAGAATAGCCCACGGTTTTCTTACTGTGGTAGAGAGTTTGTTGCTTGGCTCACCTTTATTTCCAACCCTTTTCTCCCCAGCCCCCTGCCAGTTAGGGGTGGCCATCTGGCAGCCATCTTGTGAACCATGAGGAACAGGCTTTGGATCACAGAGATGTGAACCCTGACATCACAGAGCCAAGACCCTCCACAGCTATCTGTGGACTTCTTGTTATTCGAGAGAGAGAAACAAGAAACGTAGGCCTTCGGGGTTTTCTGCTACTTGCAGTCCCAAACATTCATAATGACGCAGCTCCTGTAGCAGTGTAGCTTTGATACCTGCCTGCTATTCCTTCTGTGCAGTTTTCCGATACTTCTTACCCAGTTGTCAACTCTGCTCTTGCTGTTGTTCCTGCCCCTCTTGCATGTCTCCCCGCCCTGCTTTTTCTCCTCCATTGTCCTTGGAATTACAGGTTTCCTCCATCTGAAATAACTGCTTTTTAACCTACAAGGGAGTCTTGCATTTTCAGTTTGATAGGTTCCTTATTCAAAGGTGTATAATGAATGTTCTCTCCTTAACCAGGAGGAAGTAAAGTACGTTTCTTGACAGACTTCAAGTTGATTTTAGGGGGGGCTTTTCTGTTCTACGTTAGAATGAGTTCCCTGCCTGCCCAAAGCTCATTTTAGCACCATGATGCATGGGGATTGAGTTGACCTCGGGCTCCCCTCTGTTTAGAAGCATGACTTCTGGTGCCCTGGGAGACGTGACCACATGCCCTGAAGTTCTTTAGGAACTTAGAACTTAGAAAGTTCTTTAGGACTTTAGGACTTCTTTAGGAAGCCTCCTGAAGGGCCCACGCGAGTCACCCCTGGCGACTGTGGAGCTCCTGAAGCTTAGGGATTCCGTGTGGGCCTTCATGAGCCTGTACATGCACGATCTAATACCAAATGTTATTTATAAAATCATTTGGTTATGGTTTGGCTGTATCTTAAACTTGCCTAAACGTGCTATGAATGCCAAAACTCTTCTACAAGCTCTAGAAATCTTAGCTTAATTTTCTGACTCTGAAACACATGTTCTCCCCCTTGCCTTAGAAGAGTCTCTCTCTCCTGCTTCCTCAGATGCCTTCATCCAAGTTGCATTCTTCCCAACTGGCTGCTAGTTAATCCCTACAAACTGAGGTGTTTGAGCAAGGGTGTTTGATGAAGGATTCTGATATGGGAAATGAAGAACGAGTGTTGGTTTTATAATCGAGACCACAGGAAGTTAACACTCAGAATCTTGACTAGCTGAGACATGCCTATGAGGACAATGGTGGGTGTCCAGGCAGTGAGGGGAGAGGCTTCCTAGGGGTGTGCCCTAACATCCGGGGGCCCCAGTCCAAAGCAGTGGCATGGGACCATTTATGGGGAAGGGATATCCAAGGGCCTTGCTTTTACAATGAGAATATATTTGTGCTCTCATTATGAAATTTAAATAGGACTTAGGTTGGGGGAGATGCAACCATTTATATGACAGCAATGAGGAAAGAGGATTTTTAAGCAAATTTTGCTGGATATTAAACACAGACTCTCCTTAGATTGGAGAGGTTGAGTATGCAATTGGATTTGACTCGAACGGAAAACGAAACAACACTGGGCAGGGGAATGAAGTGTAAGATTTTTGTATCAGAAAACGGCTGTTGCAGGGGGCTTCTCCGGGAAACAGACTCAGATGGAGATTCATGCGTAGGAAACCCGTCTGGGTGTTAAGATCTCGCAAGGGAGGAGGCAGGAACAGGTGCTGGCGGGAAGCGGAGGGGCGATGTGTTTCCACCAGGGCCCCAGCAGATGCCACAGGGAGGGCTGAAGCTGGGGGAGCCCTTCAGAGTTGTCTCCTGGGGATCGGAGAGTGCTGTGTCTTTAGACTTTGACCTTGACCAACCGCTGGGACAGCGGGCAGGGCCTTGAGCAAGCGGCCTTCTTCAGCCAAGGGCAATTTCCACCGAGGCGTGTCAGTTCTAAGACAGATCCCAGGGGTGCACCGAGTTCCTTACAGGACCCGGGGGCTCGGAGAGTGGTGCGGATCCCTCCCTGCCGGCCACGACAGCCGGCTCCGGTGGTTCTGCTCGCCCGGGATTCCCCCGTGCTCTTTGCCCCCTCATCCTTCCGCCAGGCTAGTCCTTACACTTACTTTCAAGGAGACGTTTGCATTGAGGAGGGGTGGATGGCCTGTCTCCAAAGATCTATGGCCCTTCTGTCCTCCAGGTTTCTGTGTGGGTGACCTGTGGTTGGTCAGTCACAGCTTTGGCCTTTTCATGGGAATTGCATCTGTTTACGAGGGCTCAGAAACATTAAGCAGTTATCCCATCTTGTTGCTTGGAGGACCAATGGAAGGAGTGCTGGAAACGTGCCAGGAGAACCGCCTTATCACTTGTCTGGGCCCCAAGCTCCTCAGGCGGAAAATGAGGAGGCTAAATGGAGTATGCCCGAGGTCCAAGACACATACTAACATTCTATGACTTACCTGCTGCAGCGGAAAGAGACATCATGGCTCAACTTAGTTACCATTTCTGTTTCTTTATTCTGTGCTAAATATTCTTCCCTGGGAAATGAGGTCTCGGGTGGGACGCAGTGAGGAGGTGGCCTGTGGATCCCTGAGAACTTCTGGTACACTGTACTGGGGAGTGGGCTGTAATTTACCTTCTTGGTGACAGCAGTGGCTCTCGTTTTTAGTGGCACTTACCATAGATCAGCTCCTGCTCTTTGTGCTTTCTATATACTGACTCATTTAATCCTCATAACGGCACTGGGTACTCTAGTTATGTCATTGTGCAGATGAGGCGCTCGGTGTAGAGAGAGCCCAAGTAACCCTCCATAGTGTTCACAGCCTGGAAGTGGCAGAGCTGGTGTTTGAATCCAAGATGGTTTTCACATGTTTTTAACCCCTAGGCAACACTACCCGTATTATAAATTTATTTACCTTATTCCAGAAAGTATTTAAGGCATCTCGTACAAGGATAGGTAAAGTCAGGCAGGATAATGCAACCAGAAACTCAGAGGAAAAACAAAAAAAACCAAAACCCCACAAAAACAAAACAAAACAAAACAAAACAAAAACCCTTCAGACTGCAGTTTTCCATATTCACCACAAGAGGACAGCATAACATCGGCGAGCACGCAGGCTGACGTTAAACTGCTATCACCACATTTGGGTATCAAAAATTTTAAGTAACAGACCAAACGAAGTCAGATTTAGTATTACTTGCAAAAGCAGATTTCTTTAAAGGATGTGCCTGAATTCTAAATGGCCATGTCTTTGATAGATTTGAGATTACTCATGTCATCAGGCTAATTCAACTTTTTCCAACAAATAATAAATACTCTGCGAAATTCAATGATAAAAGCAGGAGATAGTATTGCTTAATTGTAAAACTTAAAGATTGCAGTGAGATTCTCATCATTTCTTCACTTTGAGTTCAGTGATTTGTTTCACTACTAGAGAAAAGCACAAGGCTTATTACATAATAGGATTACGGTTTTGGCTTTTATTCCAGTAAAGATTGGTATATTAATGGGGTGGAACTTTTATTAGGTATACCATAACTAACACATGCAAATATTGTAATTGTTTAAAACATGGTCTTGCCTTCTTTTTCCCTCCCTCCTGTGTTAGTCCTACATCCTCTTGCAGTGGAGATAAGCTGTGTCAAGAGCGAATCCGGAGAGGGGTATTCGTGATTTCAGATCCAGCTACTGGGGCATGGAGTTTATGGTGTGGCTCAGGAGGGTCCCCTCCCGAGGGGGATGGCACTGTCTGTCCCACGTGATTTCTTCAGCTTTTGACTAGGTTTCTGCCTGGCCCCTGCATTAAGGACCCTTGAGTTCACCCTTCATGGGCAGGTTTTCAGCTTCGCCCTACCAGCTGCTGGCTTGGGGGACTGTGCTGTGTCTGTTCCTGCAAATGCTTCTTCCCAGGAAGCCAGACCAGGTTTTCTCCCTTCTCTAATCCTGCT